AATAGTCCTGTTGAGTCTGCTAAGCTGCAGAGCCCTTTATGAGGTTCCCGCTCCACGGCATCCCGCCCCCGGACCCTGTCCCGGGACCCTGCCCGAGTCACACCCTCACCCCCAAGGCCATGTTCCGTCTGAGGTCACTTTTTCCCACGGCAGTAGCTTCCGAATAAAATGTGCTGTTATTGCTGTGACCTCTGCCCCGCTTCCGCTTTGGGACTCTCCCCTCTGCTCCAGGGCTCTCCCCACCATCCTGTCATGCCAAGAAGGGTTTTGTGGGGGCAGGGTGTATTTGGGGAGGGAAGAGGAGGAGAGCAGGGAAGAGTACGTCCGTCCTTGGCCTGGGCCTCAGGAAAAGCTGCGTGTGTTTTGTTCGTCAGGAGCATGGCCTGCCATCCGCACCAAGGACAGGGAGGTAGCCAGACTGTGAGGGACCCACCCTGCAGCCGTCATTTCTGGAATTAGTACCCACCTCCTTCGAAGCTGGAGGGTCATCCCTTCCCTGAGTCCTGAGAACACCTTTTTACTAATAGCTACATGAATTTTTTAAATTGCAGCTTTGAAAAAAGCACTTCCGTTGGGTTTCTACTTCTGAAAATCACTCCACATGTTAACAGCCCTTGGCACCGGAGACCTCCCTCCCCCGCTCTTTCCCCAGAGCCCGTCCCAGCGCCTGCTACCGACCCACAGCCTTTGTGGGGTCAGAGCCTGCCTCTCCTGGGCCCTCTGGGCAGTCCCTTGGCAAACCAGTTTTGGCTGACACCTGGCTGAGCAGGTGAACCAGAAGCCCCCCCTCAACGTAGGGCTCCTGTTCCTCCACTGTCCTGGGGGGGGGGTCTGCTTGCTGCGTTCACCGTTCGCTGGGCTTTAGCCAGAACCACCCCACTCCTGACCTTTCCTCTTAAGAGTTTTCTACCCACTGACCCCACCCGCTCCTTGCCCGAGCCGCGCCGGCAGTGGGGCCAGGCCTCTCCCCACCGGAGCCCCGCTGCGCCTACGGCCAAGGGCGCGAGTCCCACCCGCCCACTTTCACCCGGAGTCTCTGGGTACTGTTTCCCTTAATGCACAACAGGCTGGTGAGCAGCCCCGACTTGCTGGTGAAGGAGTGGATGGATGTTGTTCAAGGCAGTATTTCCTAAAATCGCTATTTTTATTCCATTCCAGGGGACAAACCTGTGGGAAGTCCACAACCATGCCTCCCACTCGGTGAGACCCTCCTGGCTGGTGGAGTGGGGGTGGGGGTACACAGGGGGTGAATAGCCCTCCTTACGGCGGATCGAGGCAGGAGAGGGCTGCTTCCCCGCTGGCTGGCGGCAGTGGTGGCTTTGTCACTCTGCTCCATTTTTTTTCCCAGCCACGTCTGGTGGCTTTGCAGCAGCAAAATGACCCAAAGTAAACAGTCCTCAAGTCCCCCTTCTCCCTTTCCTGCCTCTGCGAATCCAGCCCGGAAGAGAAACAAAGGCCGGCGGACCCCACCCACACCCACACCGCCAGGAGCAGGTCACTCCTGCGGGTGGGGCCCTCCCGGCGGCGGGTCCACTGTCCAGGAAACACGTGCTGGGGGCCCAGGTCGAAAGCCCTGTTCATTCCCACAGCCAGTAAATGATGAACGTTGGTTCTCTGAACTGACTGTGAAAGCTCGAGTCCGGACAAAGGAGAAGGTGCTGGTGGAGAGAACCCAAGGCGTGCGCACAAATGGAAAGGACAAAGCAGGCTTAACCCACTGGCACTTAGAAATCGGCTTTTTACATTTCCTTTCCTCAGACAACACCAGGCACAGGTCCCCCCAACTTTCCATTTCTGGTAGTCTTTAGCTGAGTTTTTTAAAGAAAAAAGTACAAGCCAGAGCGTGTTAATATCTGCCAAGCATCACAGGGCTCGATTAGGTGTAATTAAACATAAAGTGAGCAACGCTGTAATTAAATCGCAAAAATGAATCTTTTTCATGCTTGCAAATTACATTCTGTGTGTGTGTGTGTGTGTGTGTGTGAGACTTTCTTCATATGGGTGAAGACAGTTTTCCAAAAAGCGGATGCCTTTGAAACTCTGCAGCTAGCCAGGCATCCATGTGGAGAGAAGTATACCATTGTTTACAAGAATTCATTTCTCACATTAACTAAAGTCACCCCAATAATTGGTTAGAAAAGCTCACTTTGAAAAGCATGCCAGGGACTTGCAGTCCGTTTCAAGTGGCTCATGCAAAAACGAGTTTCCTGATTTACTGCGGGGAGGCGGTCGTGGTAAAAGCACGTTGGCACAGATGCCGTTCGGGGGAGGGGCCGCCACTGGGCCAAGTTCGGGCAGCAAGAAGTAGAAGTCTAGTGGGGTCACTTCGGGGAAACAAAACCCATCTGCTCTCACCCACCTGCGTGCTCATTCCCCTGAGCCGGGGGGTGGCTGGTGACCCTGGAGCCCACACTCGCTGCTCCTGCACCCACTTCTTAGGGGGTGAGGTGAGCAACGGTGTGTAGTCTCTGCCTCAGAAACAGGAAAAAGACCACTCCAGTTCCTCGGTGACACAAGCCACCGTTCAGTATGACTTCAATGAGGAGTACAATAAGGTACATATTATTATATTTAGTATTCCAAGTGACAAGCAATTAGATTATTTATCAATGTAGTCCTCTGACAATGGGGAAAAAGTTGCGTCTTAGTCAGAAGACTACATTGTCCCTTGATTCGTAAAGCAGAAAGTGATAATTAACAAGTTAAATATGTTTGTTAATTTATCTGATCTTAATATACTCAAGCCTTACTTCTCTTTCCTATGACAGATCTATGTTATTGCTAAAACCTCAATAAAGGCAGCCCAAAAAGGAGAAACTGAAAAGCTATGAGTGGACAGACAGTTTAGAAATTTTAGGCCCAAAATAATTGCATATAAAGACTCAAGCTCTGCCTTGATTAGGTAACTGTGAGATAGAAATAGATGTGTACCTCCACTGGCATGTCCCTTCGCCTCCCTGATGGTTTGCATCTTAGACTGGGCAAGGCTCAGTACCAACTGTTTGCTGAGAGCTAAAACCAGGATAAAAGGCTTGGTGAAATATATTATTTATAACACACGAGTTGTTCGCTTTGATATCACCAGATGTAATTGTCACTTTTCCCCCAAATCTATCTGAGGTTGCCTGAGTCTTCCACTCCCGTAGCAAAGCTGAGCTCTCTCTCTGCCAGTGGCTGGGCACCCTGTGTGCAGAGCAAGAATGCCGACAGAGGGGCAGGTCACCTGCCCTCCACATCGGCACCTCGGGGTGGGTGCATGGGGACCCGGGGGACATCTGTAATATGGTGCATCCGATTGGTTGTTGAGAACCTAATGTTTCCATGACATCCTGACCTTTACTTTTATTTCGCTCTCAAGTTGCCCTGGTCTTTTCTCTGAGTGAAGAAAATGATAATGGATATTGAAATGAAAATGAATAAAATAAGTACATACGGAAGAATTCTTTGAATTGCTTCCCTTTGGCTTCCATTCCAATGGAATGGGGCTGGGCAGCTATTGCAAGGCTCAGGGAAAATTGCTACCTAGAGAAAAGTATTTCTTCCGGATATCCAGGGAGCATTGTGAAAGATGGGAACTACTATCAGATAATCTCAGGAGGGATTTTTTTAAATAAAAATAAATATTAGAGCCAACAGTACCTTTGTCCTCTGGTTTGATTCTCCAGAAATTATTTTGAGATTATCGTCTCCAGATGCAAAGGATAAAGGTTAGGGAGCAATTTCTTAAAATGACCCACCCATCTCGGTATTACTCATCTGTTAAGTCTCCTCCAGATTTTCAAAGAGATTGGGTAGAAACTCGCAGTCTATTTGCCCCTTGGGCACGACTGCATTCTTCGCCACTTTGTTCACTAATCCGAGATACGCAGATCCTCCGACACAGCAAAACCTTTGTCTGAAAATGCATGTTGCTACAACCCTCAGATTAAAACACCGGGCTGAGATGCTAGTTAACCAGACACCACACAGAGTTCACAGGTCAGCCAGTTTCAACCCAAAGGGACAGCCCAGGGCACTGACAGCCACCCCTGGTTTAACACAACCACCTTAGAGAGGCCCCAGGCCAGGAATTACTTGTGGAATGCAGAAACTCTTAGTTCCCTGCTGTTCGTAGATCATCGATCAAAAATCTATGAATGACAAGACTCAACTTTAAATAACGGCAGTCTTTAGAGCCAAAGGACTTCTCTTTTAAAAGTCACTTTAAAAAAAAGAACCTTTTTGTTCCTCTCTACTGGGAAGACTTTGATGCTTTATTAGAACAAAAAAAAAATGACATCTCAATTCCCCACAACTAGTAACATCTTCAAAAGGTCAGAAGATAAAGCAAATTGATGTATCGTTGTGAGCATGCTCACAAAAAAGAAGAGACCCCAGAACATCTGAGGCTCAGAAATACTCTGGAACACAGTGTCTTAACAAACAGTGATTCAAACGAATCTATTTTAAAATGATCCAGGGGGTAACATACACTCAGGCTCGGGAGACTGATAAGCCTTGCACCATCCCAGACGTGTCCACACCCCTGGTTTGGAGAAGAACGGCTCCTGGGAGCCACGCTGGTTGGGACGCTGTTGAGCTCTGCTTCTTGACTAGCAATGGTGATGCTCGTATTAAGAAACAGAAGTCTCAGTAATGGCGGCATCGCCACTTTCTGTTCCCAATGCTCAATTCTTCAATCTTTAGTAGACTTTTGATCCTTTTTAGTTAATGAACAAACCTTATTGAAATAAGGTTTGTTTAGATAAACCTTCATAACTCTAGCCTTTCAATAAAATATGATAAGCACTGCATTACAGAAAACAGTAACATTTTTTGAATTCTGGTTATTAGAACCTATTTTCTTTAACTCGGTAAGGCACGCAGAGACAAAAGTATCGAAAAGGGAATTGTGTTTGGCTAAAGTGACACAGTGACTAATTGGTAATTAGCTAAAAGAATGTAGCTACAAAGGATGTGTCTGAAAGGCACACATCTGCGCTCCCGCGAGCATACCACACCTTGGACAACTCCATGCCCGGCCCGCACTGCTCACAGAGGACACAGTTTCCGGACCGGTCCCTGAATTCCTGTTGTCTGCAGTCCCCGGTCTCACAGGTCACTTCACATGCCTGAAAAAAAAATGTTTCACAAACATTACCTCCCAGTAAGTTCATTGCATTGTTTGCAAAACACAAACAAACAGACAATATCCTCAGTATAATTCCGACAATCACTGAACGTAAACATTACGCCGGGGTAAGGACAATATCATTTTCACCTTAGGAAGAAAATACCACTTTATTAAGTGGGAGGAACAAATAAATCGATGTGCCCGATTCCTCTCTGTGTTCCCTGAGGGAGGTCTCCCTTCTTCTTGGACTCAGCTGCCATCTTGCCCTGACACACTTCTGAGGACGCAGGTAGGAAGTGAGGTGGAAGCTGCTCTCCTTTCTAAGAGGACGTATAAAAGGACAGTCACGCAAGTACTCACTTTTGCAATCTGAGAACTTCCGATTTCCAAAACCGTATTTTTGATCAAGAAAAATAAAAGAGAAAAAAGAAATACATGCATATTCAAGAATAACGAATTGAATAAATAAGTGAAATAAATTTGTATAGCTATAGGAACTTTGCCGTTATCCTTCAGACATGCAAGGCCTGGCCAGAAGGTGTCAAGACATGTGCTATGAAAAAGAGAGACATTTATTAAAGAAGATACCAGATACGAGAAACACTGTACATAAGGCAACAATGCCTCAGTCCCCTTCAGTGTAGGTGCTTGGGACCTCACACAGTTCTCCCAATCGCCATCAGCTGTCCCGTTGTATTTTCCTGAATCTCAACAACAGTCTGAAATCTCTTCCCTTTCAAAGGTGATTTTAGTTTTGGGAAAAGCCAGAAGTCATAGGGCACCAAATCTGGGCTGTAGTGAGACTGAGTCACCTGGGTGATCTGATGCAGAAACTCTGCATGAGACGTGATGAGTGAGTGGGCGCGTTGTCGTGATGAAGCTGCCAATCACCGGTTGCCCATAGCTGCGGCCTCTGAATCATTTGAATAGTTTCCATGGAGGAATGTTCAAGCTTAATACAAAATTTGAGGCAGATTTGTCACTCTACTCACTGAGTGATTTTGAATGTGACAGCCACACAGTACACATGCTCACTCAACAGCATCTACTGCCCCCACTGACTAGTACAGTGAAGTCGTCACTGTTCACACATGCGCATTCCAGTCCACTCTCCTTGGCTGCCAGGTTACACTGAAGTCGTGCAAACCCTTCTCCATATATTAACAATGGACTTTTTCTGAACAGACCTCATAGCTAGACTTTTCCAGACAGACCTCGTATCTGCCACCCAGTTTTGGTGTAGAAGTTTCTACCCTTTTCAGGGGAACTGCACTTACTTAGAGACTATCTTCCAAACACTTCTGACAGTTGTGAGATCAGTGAAATTCTCAATGAGGTTGATGATGACAATAGTGGCAAGACTATCTGGACAATTCAAAGTAAAAGTTCTCTGCAAGTATGAACTCACATCCTTACTGATTACCACGTCACCATTCACATGGGGCCTAACGATGTAGTTTGGTTCACAGCATAGGGCTAAAATGGAAAGATTATCATCTGTTTTGGCAAAAAGAATGGTTGTAAGTTATTTTCCCAAATATAGCCTTTTCCTCTTTAGCTAAAAACCGTAAACTCACTTTATATACCATCATCCTACAAAAGTATGTTCATCTGCTTCTTAACAGTATTTTATAAAAATGTCATAAATAATACAACTTCAGGTGGGGGACAACATTCAGTTCAACCTTTTGTCATTAGTAGAAACGCCCTCAGTGACATTTCTGACTACAATCTTGTTTTCTGAAATACAAGCAAAAACCTCAGGAGGTACCAGGAGATCAGAGGCACCGCCGTTATGGATGAAGCCTATCGCAAGCACGTGCCCAGGAAACTGCTTTTGGTGGTTAGAGTAACCAGCAATTATTCAGTACAAACTGCCTCCATGTTTTTTTAAAATGTATTTTATTGATTGTGCTATTAAAGTTGTCCCATTACCCTCCTTTATTTCCCTCCGCCCTGCACATCCGCTCTCACCTACATCCCTCTCCCCACCTTTTAGTTCATGTCCGTGGGTCACGCATATAAGTTCCTTGGCTTCTACATTTCCTACACTATTCTTACCCTCCCTCTGTTTTTCACCTACCACTTATGATACTTATTCCCTGTACCTTTCCCCCCTCCTCCTCCTCCTCCTACCCACTGATAACCCTCCATGTGATCTCCATTTCTGCGACTGTTTTCCTGTTCTAGTTGTTTGCTTAGTTCGTTTCTGTTTTTGTCTTTTAGGCTCAGTTGTTGATAGTTGTGAGTTTGTTATGTTACTGTTCATATTTTTATCTTCTTTTTCTTAGGTAAGTCCCTTTAACATTTCATATAAGCACTTGGTGATGATGAACTCCTTGTACTTGGCCTTATCTGAGAAGCACTTTATGTGCCCTTCTATTCTAAATGAGAGCTGGATAGAGTAACCTTGAATGTACGTCCTTTGTTTTCATGACTTTGAATACTTCTTCCTAGCCCCTTCTTGCCTGCAAGGTTTCTTTGGAGAAATCAGCTGATAGTCTTATGGGAACTCCTTAGTAGGTAACTGTCTCCTTTTCTCTTGACACTTTTAAGATTCTCTCCTTATCTTTAATCTTGGATAATGTAATTATGATGTGCCCTAGTGTGAGCTTCCTTGGATCCAACTTCTTTGGGACTCTGAGCTTCCTGGACTTCCTGGAAGTCTATTTTCTTGGCCAGATTGGGGAAGTTCTCCATTATTTGTTCAAATACGTTTTCAATTTCTTGCTCTTCCTCTTCTCCTTCTGGCACCCCTATGATTCGGATGTTGGAATGTTTAAAGTTGTCCTGGAGGTTCCTAAGCCTCTCCTTATTTTTTTCTGAATTGTTGTTTATTAACTCTGTTATGGTTGAATCTTTCTTTCTTCCTTTTGCTCCAAACTATTGATTTGAGTCCTGATTTCCTTCCTTTCACTATTGGTTCCCTGTACATTTTTATTTCACTTTTTATAACCCTCACTTTTTCCTCTGCTTTGTGAACATATTCAACCAATTCTGTGAGCAGGATGATAACCAGCGTTTTGAACTCGAGTCTGATAGGTTGGCTATCTCTTCGCTTAGTTGTATTTTTTCTGGAGCTTTGATCTATTCTTTCATTTAGGCCATTTGTTTTCTTGTCATGCCTGTCACGTACTGACAGAGCCTTAGGTATTCACCAGGGTGGGGCACCCAGTCACCGGGTTGTGATGCTGTATGTGGGGGAGGGTCCGAGAGAGAACAGTGCTGCTTGCTCTGCTCTCAGCCAGTTTTCAGTCACTTCCCCCACTTCCCACAAGCAAACTGGGCCCTTCTGGTGCTGGTTCTCGGGTGGGTGGGTTTGTGTACATTCTAGGACCCTGTGGGTCTCTCCAATGAAATCTCCTATGGGGCTGGGAGTTTTTCCTGCTGCTGCCTCAACCCCCACAGGTGTTTTCAGTCAGAGGTTTGAGGCTTCATTTCCCCACTGGGACCCTAGGTTGTGGGTCGGTCTCATTCCCCAGTTGTTCCTCCCGGTTTATCTGCACACAAATGTGGGACCACCCCCCAGTCCTCCAGCTGCCACTTTGCTATAAGTCCTCTCCACAGGCTGCGGTCTCCGCCCCTCCCACCAGTCTGGGTGAGTGTTTCTTTAACTCCTTGGTTGTCGGACTTCCATACAGTTCAGTTTTGTTGGTTCTGCTTGTGTTTAGTTTTTAAACTTTTGTTGTCCTTCTTTTGGTTGTGCGAAGACACACAGTGTGTCTACCTGCGCCTCCATCTTGGCCGGAAGTCACCCGCCTCCATCCTGAAGCAGGAACATGTAGGACGATGTCTGCTGGCCTCCTTGTGCAAAGTCACAGCCTGGACCTGCAGAGCAGGCGGGAGGGAGAGTTCAAGGTGGGATTTAGGACTAGAACGTCATTTGGGGCTAACAGTCTAATAATCTCCTCCTGCCTCTCTTCACAGCCTTAGGGGAGCTGGTTTTATGAGAGAGAGAGATTCCCTCCCATCACAAAGAGGCCATAAAGGCTTTGACCTTCTAGAAGTTCATTCCAATGTTGAACAACTTCACATCAAAGAAAGGAAGCTTCCCTCACATCTGCCTGGATCTGACTCCAGATGGACACCATTTCTTCTGATTTTATCTTCCAAGAAGACTCTGGGTACTCACTTCAGGGTAAGTGATTCTTTTCATAGTTGGGGATCATGGTTACATCTTCAAACTAAGTCGGTTTCAACTCTTTCGAACGCCTTCATAGATCTCTTGTGTCAGGCTTTCACACGTGGGAATCCTCCATCTGTCCTTAACGATGTATGGAACCAAGCATATAAATAACTACGTAAAAATAATAGAACTTAAAAAAATCAGTTCTAGACACTTCACAATGGTGTGAGTCATCGGTGCCCAGAGAGACTGCAGGGTCCTGTTGGGATGTTAGATGTACCGCGGGAAACTTCTGTTCACCCGCGGTGACCGTTGTCAGGGGGCAGCAAGCAACGCTGTGATTTCCACCGCATCTTCATTTAAATAATTTCAGCAATTGCCACAAAGGTCCAGACTCCAGCACAATCTTTATTAGTTAAATGTAACAGTCATAAAATGCAATTTGAAAGAAAATTTTAAAACAGGGGATCAGACATAGAAAAGAGTCTGGGTGCTACGTATGTGAACTCTTTCACCAACATTCTCGTGACCGTAGCGTTGACTTACCAAGTAGGCCAGCAAAACCACAACGGTGAGAAGTGGCTTGTCCTGTCCCGGAGGCACTTGTGAGGCCATGGTTCTTATTAGAGGTGTTTTTTGTTGAGAAGTTTCTGGAAGATAAGATACAGCTAATTATACTCATAATTAATGACAATTAGTGACTGTGCTTTGTGTTTACTGTATAATGTTTACTCTTCGCTTATCTATACTAGATAATAGTAGTTATGCTGTAAAAGCAATCACCTTTAAAAAGATTCAACAGGCATACAGTATGTAATCTTTAAAGATTTAAGTTACGAGAGTTACCGCTTCGCCTGCTTAGGCGCCACGTGCGAGCTTCTGCAGGCGGTCCTGTCCCGGGCCTTTCCTGACCACCCAGGTCTCTGCAGTGTCCAGCCCTGTTCCCCCAGCACAGAACTACGTTCAGACAGTGACCATGTAAACCTTCCACTCTGTGGATTTAGTCAGTGCCAGTAGGACAATAATAGTGATAAAAAATTAACACCTACTAAGCACACTCTGCACCGGGTACTGTGAACTCATTTAATCTTTACAGCTGCTGTAGAATGTGGATAATGTTGTCATCCCCATATTAGAGTGGGGAAACTGAGGCTCAGAGAGCACTGAGTCACCTGCCTAAGGTCACATCGCTGGTAAGAGGCCGAGCTGGGCACAAACCCAGGTGGTCTGGCCCCAGGGACCCCAGTCCCTCGACCCTACAATATGATCAGTGAGCATCCTGGACCTTCAACTCCACGAAGAAGCAGACACAGCCCACGTTTGGCCTTTGTTCCCCTACCACGTCGGTACAAATAATACATCAGCAGAAAAAATACGTGTTCATTTAAAGACACCGAAAAATCGTTTACAAGTGATGAAACTGGAGTCACTAATCTGATGTGTCAATGAAAAGATCATCCAAGCCTCTTCGTCTTCACCGGGAATTATCTAAAATGTAGAAATAAATCACAGCTCCAGACAACGGCAGGATGATAGGCTTTCTTTTTTTCCTAGTGAAGACGTATCTGGTGGCTCCTTACCAGGTTGGGGAACAAGGGTTCCATTTCTCTTTTGAGTTGAATCTTCCAAAACTCCCAAGAGACCCAGAGCAAATAACCAGACTACTTAAAAAGAAACCAGAGCAGAGAAGCAGCCCCGTGGGCCAAGTAGCTCAAGAAAAGCAATAACAACAATCCAGGAAGCAAAGCTGGACCCCGCGGCTCTGTCCACTGCTGGCCAAGCCGCCAGCCCCCAGCGGCCTGCGGGCAGCCCGGACGCTCACCGCCCCTACGGGCCGAGGCGATACAGATGGCGTTTTTACGTTTGCGGGATGAATGGCGCAGATTTAGAAAATTCAAGCACCTTTTATCGCGGTTCCCCCTTCTCAGCCATGGCCTGTTTGTGCCCCTTGCATATCTCACAATCACCAGGTGGCAGTTACCCAACCGTGCAGCTCGCCGCTGTGCGGCTGCGGCGCCGCCGGGGTCGGAGATAAAATCGCGTTCCACGGAAGGTTTGCTGCGGGTTGTGCTGCTCCACACGGTCCTAAATGCTTCTAAATGCGCTCATTATTAAAAGTGTAAAAAAAAACAAACACGTAAAATCTACATGGAGTTAAACTACTGTGAAAGAGGGTGTAAATACCAAGCGTTCCCACAAAATGTAAGAGGCGGACAGAGGCAGCGCGCGCCGGGATGGAGCGACCAGCCGGACCGAGCGCGCCGCCGACCGCGGAAGGCGGACGACCGCTTGCGGCCCGCGGTAGGAGTTACAAGTCGTGGGAACATGATTTTGACTTCATAAGGCACACCGATTTCATGTCAAAATATTATCAATGGCTGGGGTTACATGCAGCATTCTGTGCAAACTTTCCCTTTCTTTTTCTAAAAATCCTCATGGTGTAAAAGTTTCGTTCACGATGGAGAAAAAATGTGCACCGCTCTTAGGGCAAAAAGGTAAGAGACATGGTCCTCCTCGAAAAGTGTCTAAAAGAGGTGACAAGATAAAAAACCATATAAACACGACCAAAGAAAGGAGAAAATTAAACAAGCACTATGACTTTTGCATCACAAGAAGCTGTTTCTAACGATCGGGTAGAGTAAGTGGGGGGAACCGGGCCCTACGTGCTGACTTCCACTGTTCTCCCAACACATGAATGGAATGGCTCCAATGGAAAGTATGAGAATAGCGCTGCCCTGCCTAAATTTCCTGCGGCCTGCGGGCAGATCACACCCCAGGTCGGGCCCCTCACCGCCCCTGCAGCTCAGCCCCCCACCACACTCGTGGTCTCCTGCATACCCTCGACTGTGCCCTCGGACCCAGGCGGTCACTTTGTCCCAGGCAGCCTTTCTCCCACTGACTCCCGACGAGAACCAGCCAATGGGCACTGCTGTCCATCAGCACAGGGGGCAAAGGTGCTCCCCATGGCCAGTGGCCCTTTCCACATTTACGTACAGCATCTGTCAGGCTGCAGAGTGATCATGCTTATTTGTGTCTCGGTTTATGCTGCTTAAAACCGGGACCACGCCTCATAACTCTCTGTATTGTGTAGCATGGCGCCCGGCAACTAGAACACCGGGTTTCCAGTCCCACGTCTGAGCAATGTCACCGTGAGACTTCCTGACTCCAGACAGAAAACAGAACCTGTGCCCCGGGGGGGTGTGATGAGGATGAACTCAGATAAGGCACAGACTGAGAAGTGTCGGGGACAGAATAGAGCATAACCCGTGCTGGTCGCCGAGGTGGTCAGGGGCCTGCTGGTCTTGAGAACACCACTTGCTGGCTGTGTGAACCTGGACGAGTTGCCCAGGCCATGCCTCAGTTTCCCCATCTCTGGACTGAGTGTGGCGGCCGTGAGGAATGAGCGGGTTTAGCAGCTCTAACGCACTCCCAGGAGAGTTCATCCGCACCAAAACCTCTCAGGGAGTGCTCTGTACCCATTAGCAATGATGGCTGTCATTATCGATGGCCTTACCACTGAGGATCAAAGGACCCACTGTATGGCACAGTCCTTTGAGTTTGTAACTGGCCACACAGATGTGAGCCGTCATTCAGGGGGTTTACATCTTCAGACATACGGCCCGCAGAAAGCCGGTGAAGACCAAGAACCAACGCAAAGTTCAAACTCAGCATTTCTAACGCCAAGGACTGTGCTAAGGCTTCCGGGAAGCACAGCTTTCCTGTCCTGCCACCCTCTCGAGTAGGCATTACCCCTGCATGGGGAGAGCACACTGGGGGTCAAGGACACAAGCCCTGGGAAGGCCAGAAATGAATCCCACTGTGCCTGCTGACTTCGAACAAAACAGCTCTCGTGCCATTCTGCTGCAGAGACCACCGGTCACGTCCCACCCTGCAGCACCCAGGGACCCCTTCCACTCGGCAGAGGAGGGCAATGTCCACAGAGCCGATCCACAGAACTGTTACACGCTGCGTAACAGAACACTATACCCTTCCTGATTCATTCATCCACCCCATCACAGCACTCCTGGGGGGCGGGGGGGCGGGGCTCAGGGACTACGGTGCGCCCTGAGGGTGCTCGCAGCGCAGCAGAGGTGGCGAGAGCTCCTACGCACCCCTCCATGCGCCCGGCTTATTCGTTGTTTATTTGTATAGAAATACACTGGTTAGCCCGTGGGGTGTTATGAGTGCCCCCTTGAGCTTCTTGGAACAAAATGAAATACCTTAAGAAATGCTTTGGCATTCATAACAGAAGGAAAATGTAATGAGACGACAAGTGTTTAAGTGTTTAGAATTTAAAATTAAAATAAGGCAATAAAAAAGGTATATTGAAATTGGTTTTAATTTCTGGAATTTTGAGTCTGGCCCAAATAGAAAAATGCTTGTATATACTTCAGTAGTCTATTTGGGGGTATTTATCAAACAGGAGACATACAAATCATCGATATAATGGACAGTGGGTCCCGTGGGGTTGTCACGGTTTGCCAAATACACAGACCAGACAACATGTACTAAATATCCAGCACCAATTGGCCAAATGGGTGCAGAGCAACTGCCCCAGCTCCACAGCGAGAAGACTGACAATGTCTGGTTCGCCGTGTCCTGGGAGTGTGGGATTTCTGCCTCACTGTCTGCTACTTGACCATGGCCAGCAGAGCATCAGTATCGGGAACCCGGCAGGCAAAGAGGAGGAGAACGGAGCCCGCAACCCGCAGCCCAGCCCGCAGCCCGCAGCCCGCAGCTGGGAGCCAGCGAGCTGCACTGTTGGCTCCCAGACAGTGCTGCTCATCACACCAAGCCACTTGCCCGCCACCTGAACGAACGGGAACGGACACGGAGTAGTGTCCCGACTAGCCAGCCCCTGAGGGAGATAAACCGAACCGATGCAGAAAAACACACCTTTTCTACTTCCTTGTCCAAACGGTGACAACGTGTGCTGGAGTGTCGCCTGGCAAAGAGGCGGGGCCTCGGGGGTGGCAGTGCACAGGCGCCCGGCTGGGACGGAGCAGCTCCAAGCATCATGTCCAAGCCACCTCTCTCAGGCTGGGCACACCACCGGGTCCCAAACCACGGTGGTTACTTCAGCCTGCCCTGCCCTCACCAGCTGCGTCCCTTCTGCTCCGGGTCTTCCTATGCACTGGACCTTCATCCGCCGCAGTGCCCCCCACTTTGTCGAAGTTCTTCTGGCATCTCCTGACCCAGGCCCCTGTCCTCTGCCCGGCCACAGCACCCGGGGGACTTATCTCCATCCCCCGTACGATTGGCCGGCGATTTCTCCCTCTCGTAGCCCCTGTGTTGCCAGCAGTAGCAGCATTTTCCGAGTCACCATAGCCCTTGATTTTTAAAATAAGTTCTCAGTATTAAAAATGAATGATTTTCTTGAAAAATTAGAGAATTAGGCCACCATGAGTCCCACAATGAAGCAGCAAGGCTAGACCTGAGTGACAGCCATCCCGCGCAAAGACGGACCTACACTTTCTGGGCTCCAGCCGTCACTGCCCCTGTTGTCCCCTGGGGCTCCCTGCCTGCATTTCATCACTGACCAAGCCCTAGGAGGTAACCAACTATGAGGGTGTGAGGACTTAGTCACAAGAAATGTGACCTTGCTCTAGAGGTGTAATTCTCCCCCAAAATGTGCCCGGTATATGTTGAA